GTGTCTTCTAGAAACAAGGCACATGTTTCTGCATGAGTTTGTTGTGTTTGGAACAACTTGTCAGACTGGTAGTGTGTGAATCTTTAGTCGACATGTAGTGTATGATGACTAGTTTTCCTCTGTAACCATTTACAAAGTAGGCATGTGTATGCTGCCTAGTGCTTTAAAAGTCATATAGTGTGTGTGTGTGTGTGTGTGTGTGTGTGTGTGTGTGTGTTTCAGCTCCAGAGAGCTACAGTGATCTGAAGGCACTCCTGCAGGATCACGGATCAGAGCAGCAGCGCCTCATTCTGGACAGAACGCTGAAGTGTCACCATCCCAGTCTAGCCGCGGGAAACAAAGCCAAACTACAGGTCAGAGACATTTTATGTTTTTTTTTTTTTCATTTTAGTAAGTTTTAGGGGTGGGGGAAAAATCAATACAGCATGGTATCGTGATATTTTCTGCGGCAATACTGTATCGATACACGGACGCCAAGTATCAATCTTTTATTATACTATTTGGTTGAATAATTAAATCAATTTCATTACAATCCACTAGATGGTAGTGTTGAGTTTTTTTCTGGTGAGGTCAGCTGGGTCACCTTCAGCATGCAGTAAGTTAGTAAAATAAAAGGTCCACGTTTAAATTGGATGTAAAACTATGTTTTATTTATTTTAAATTTAACAGTAATTTACTTTCAAATGCCTCAATTGCTGAAGGGTCTGCACAACTTTTTAGTACAATTTCAAGTTACACTGTTCAAAATACCTGTAGTAGCACAGCAGTGCATACCTGTTTACATTTAATTAAGGTGGACTAGATTAGACTGCAATACGAATAGTTGAGTTTGTCAGGTGCATACAACATTTATTACAGGTTTTCATGAACGTGTTGGTCAGATTGTTTGCTTGACAATCCCATTTAGCACTGCAGCAATAAAACTGAAGTGAGATAAACAAACTGAGAAATGTTCTTTTTAGTTAAAAAAAGATAAAAGTCGACTTCAAAAAATCAACCCCTAGCACACACACACACACACACACACAGATGACGTGAGCTTATCTGTATGCTCGTGTGTATGTGTTCTGCAGTCAGATCTGCGGTCTGTGTCAGATGTTTCCTGAGGCCGCGTGTAAAGCCGTGCAGACGTTACTCAGCGACAGCGGCCACAGCATGGAGGAGACGCTGGAGGTCAAAGGTCGAGCACCGATGCCTGATCTGGACATGGTGCGCAGATGGACTGACACAGGAGCACAGATACAGAGACGAGAGGCTGATCCTGAGCTCATCGTGTGTGTGTGTGTGTGTGTGTGTGTGTGTGTGTGCAGCTGGTCCTCCTGAAGATCACGGCGCTGCTGTTCCCCTCGTCAGACTTCAGACATCCGGTGACGACTCCAGCGTTCCTCTACATCAGTCAGGCGCTCACCAGGGTGTGTGTGTGTCTGTAATAATGAGTAGATTGTTTGTTTGTTTTAGTCATACAGATGCTTTAAAACATCTTGTTCACCCAAGACATGATGACTTAATGTGATGGCTCTGTGTGTGTGTGTTTCAGTGTGTGGTGCTCTCTCTGGAGGACGTGTGTAAGGGTTTGATCCTCTGCTGTCTGGCGCTGGAGTTCGTCTCTCTGTCTCGGAGGTTTTTCCCAGAACTGCTGAACTTTCTGCTGGGACTCCTGCATCTGACTGTCTCCGACAAACGCAACATGGGTACTGCAGTGTGTAAGAGTGTGTGTGTGTGTGTGTGTGTGAGAGAGAGTGTGTGTGTGTGTGTGTGTGTGTGTGTGAGTGTGTGTGAGTGAGATTTTACTTCACCTGATCAAACCAAACGAGCTACTCGTGTGGAAACAGGAAGAGGAATCTGGGTGTTTCCTGTCTGCTGATGTCCATCATCACGAGCGACAGAGGCATTACTGTATTCACACATTCAGTCTGAGCATTTGATTCTGAACGGCTGTCCATCATGCTCACGTGACCATCGTGTGTGAGTGTCTTGTGCTGTCATTAACACTCGTTCTGACTGACCATGTCTGTGTGTGTGTGTGTGTGTGTGTGTGTGTGTGTGTGTGTGTGTGTGTGTGTGTGGGTTATACGGTGGTGAGTCCGTTCAGATGGCAGGGGAAGAGCTGTGATCTGCTGGTTCTGAAGGATACTAATGTGTCTCACAGCTGGAACAGGAAACCCATTTCACTGCACACAGCTCACAGAATCCCAGCCCAGAGTCCAGTGGAGAGAGACCACTACAGGTACTCACACACACACTCACTCACACTCTCTCACACACACACACACTCACTCACACTCTCTCACACACACACTCACACTC